GGTTACCTGTAATCTGGCACCTAGCACCCACCCTGTATCTAGTTTACACACTGTTAATCTGCTTACTGTACATACGTTTGTCATCTGTTTTTATGTTTGTACTATCTGCGATTTGTCAAACAGCACTCAACATGTAACCACTTTGTACCAATATTAATCTGCATACTGTATTTACGTTTGTTACCTATTAATACGTTTGTGCTATCTGTCGTTGTCACATAGCACTCTCCATGTAACTATTGTACTATTGTTAATCTGCATAATTTACATTCGTTTGTCATCTGTTACAGTGGCGTGCCGTGACATTTGATGATAGGAAAGCTGTGTTTCTGTAAGAAGCCGACTTCCAGGGGCAATCAGTCAGTGATGGTTTAGGGTCCATTCGTATTCGTTTGTTCGATAAGTCAGTAAAAACCGTAGACTTCTCTAAATGTATTTTTAATAGATTATCCGACGTACTTAATAAATAAACAAGTTCAATATAATTAACTCTGTTATATTAGATTTAATAGATTCTATACGCCCTCTAAATGCCAATTCTCGCTTCGATAACATCTACTAATTAAAATATATCTATTAGCCGTAACTATCTTGTTATAATTTTCAATATATATTTTATATTGTGTACTAATGTTAAATTCTATTCTATTTTGATATCCAAATTGCTTCAACTTTACGAAAGAATCGATGCGAGATTTACGATTTTCGTGTCTTTTGCCAGCTTTACTCAAATTATTTAAATCGTCAAAGCCATTCTTATTCCACACACTAATTTCATTTGAAAATAATAGGCAAGGCCAACAAAACAATTTTTGCATTTTTATGCATCCACAAAGCCATTTTACGTCTTCATAAATTTTATCGCGGAAATGTCGAACAAACTTTTTTGTCGACGTATTTATATTTAATTTAGGCATTGGTCTTTCTCTTTTAATAATCTTTTCTTTTTCATTATATGGTCTCGAGCCAAAACTTTTTTAAAATAAATTTTCAATATCACAATTACAGTAATACCTCGACTTACGCTACCCCGACTTACGCGAACCCGGAGTTACGCGATTTTCAGATCTCGTCGATTCATCTTTTGTTTGTGCACCACGAAACTCTTCATTACTCAGTCCTCCCATACTATTGTTCAGCTTACATGTTTGGACGTGTCGCGCGGAATCGACACATAGCTACAATTTATTTTGTGTTATTTATTTCTGTGTTTGTTATATCTACGGAGACTCGAGAGACTCTANACAAAATATTCTTTAATTTTTAAATATTAAAACAATCCACTTAGTTAAATAGCTCCCTCCCAGTGGCTAATGGATGGAATCAGAGAAGGTCTTGGTAGGTGTGCACTGTGTGTATGCATGCCAAATCCCGAGGGTGCTGATACCGGTTAATGTCAAATGCCTCTTTTGTCGTATCACTAGGACGCGAAAGGGTTGTAAATTTTAAACGTTTCTCACCATAGCTGTAAAAATCTAAATTTGTTAAACTTAATAGTCGTTTGTTTTCTAACTAATCCGTTTTAGAACCAGGTGTCCACGGAAATTTCCAAAATTTACAACTTTTCGGTCAGGGCTTATTGAACTGAAAAAGTTTGTCTTTATTACATCTAATATTACGAAGAAATCAGTCCATACTGTACTCGGTTAAGCTTTTGTTTAAGTAAAATTCAGGCTCTTTCAGCAGGGTTTTATTTGTGTCCCCAATTCCCTAAGCGCTTAATTATTTAACTACTACTTAAATAGAAATAAGTAGTAACCTGTTACTTTGTACTCGAATATTTAAAGTCTTGGGAAAGAAGTGGAAAGACAAATTTTTATGACAACGGATACATAAATCGTAAATTTAAGGAAAATAAATTCTACAGCTTTTTCTGTACCTCGTGCATCTCTCTCATTCATTAAATTTAGTTGTAAACGACACTGTCAAAGTAACGGTTAATTTTTTAACATTGTACGAGAATTGTACACGTTTTTTTCTACATCCCCTTAATGATGGGATGTACGAAATCGTAATATCACTGGTTTAACATTGAAATCCATGAGTAATATAAAATCGGAAAGCGGAATAAAAATATCAAATATTTTAATGGATTTTTTTAAACTCCTGTCAACTATACAGAAAACTATCATAAAAACATACCAGTAAATTTTTATCGGTTGGGTTATAAATCTACTCGCGATTCGCGTAATCGGGCGAGGGCGACCAAATATCTAGCGGGCAGGCGGCTAACAGCCCAGAACCGGTCCTGGATAGAATTTGATGCGGCATACATATAGCATCCACCCAAGGTCCTAGGCTTCTACCAGCTAAACCGGGTGAGATTGATGTTCTGTAAAGCGCATGCGCAAATCTGGCTTTTTGGATGCTGACGGTACAGCGTTCCACTCCGCCACTAATATTCGAATATACAATAGTGATCTTATCTTTTTTTTTCACGTGTAGTATAGAAATTTGTAATAAGATACATAATGCGGTTATAATAAAGTATTGTGCGATTATTTTCATATTATTAAAATTAATATGTATTTATTTTTAGAAAATACAAGAGAAGCGGTGCATCCACCGTTTCCAATGACGACACGCCACTGATCTGTTATTATGTTTGTACTGTCTACGATTTGTCAGACAGTTCTTAACATGTAATTTCTTGTAACAATATTAATCTGCATACTGTATTTACGTTATTACCTGTTCATATGTTAGTGCTGTTTGCGATCTGTAACGTGGCACTCCCAACCTATATTCCTCTGTAACATTCTTGTTATTGTTTTTTCTGCTGACCATTCCTTATAAAACACCGTCGTGGGACGTCCATGGATCCCAGCCCTTTTCTTTTCATCCCCTTTCCTTTCTCACCCCCACCCCATCTTTCCCCCTTTTTCCATAACACAGGTTGTACCAAAGAGTGATACCTGTCTTACTACTACTACTAACAATTATTCACGGTATTTTCAGAAGTTTTGGGCATCTCTTAAATATAACATAATCACTGAAAGTNTAAATATTATTGGTGTATATTTATTTTACACCAGCACATCTAGGTGGGCTTTAGGCGTGTTACATTTCAGAACCGTTAGGATAATAAATTACGAGAGGTTGCGGGGGAAACGAGGAGGAGGGAGAGAGTGCTTTGACATCAATTGCACGTGGATTACTACCTATTCTTGAATAATGGAATCGAACGATGTGCAATCTCAAGCTGAACTTAACAACACACAAGACTCACAAAGTGGCCCAGCTGTTGCTCTTGGGCCAATAGAAAAAACAATACTGAAAGACGTAAGTTCTCACCTATGGAAAATACTTGACTTAGTACCTGAAACTTATTGGTCAAATTTAAAGATAGAGGAGCGTAAGGAGATCTGGGAAAGAGTTTCACAGCTACATAGCTGTGTCAGCCAAATATACGGAATCCTTAGGGAACTCAGAACAAAACCCAGCCCTCCACTAGTATTTAGTAATGGACAGGGGATCCAACCAACCTATGCCACTATTACCAAAAGTAATAGACCAATTCAACCAAGCTCAACTACTAAGGTGGTCGATAAGTCATTAAACAGAAAACTGCAAAGAGAGGGTACTGTTGGCAGCCATGCTGTCCTGGTTTACACAAAAGAAAACGTGGACTCCCAAAGTAAAACAGATATCAAAAAAGTTAAAGACACAATTCTAGATACAATCGAACCTCAGAAACTCCGAATCAGAGTCAAGGCAATAAAGGACGTGAGAAATGATGGATTTTGCATTGCTAGTGGTGACCAGACCCTAAACACCGGAGTTCGATCGGGGGTTCGCGCCTCACTCGGACGAGCTGGCAGCGGGAGTTTTTCCGGGTTTTCCTCCTTGCCAATGACGCCTGAATATGGGCCAGCTTTCCCTCCAAGTCCTCCCGGAAGGCATTCTGTNTATAGCACCAGACCTTACGGTTGTTTGTAATATAAAATTTTGCACAGCGCAAAAAGTTCACCCTTAACCTTTCCTTGCGACGTCAAAAGGTCAGTCGAGCTACCTAAAGGGCAAAAATTATTAGTGTCCCATATATTTTTGTCAAGGCAATCTTCATTTTAAATTTATTCAAATTTTTGATTCACTCAAAAAATTGAATAAATTTAAAATGAAGATTGCCTTGTGTTGTGTGTCTGAACTATATGGTGTTCAAAAACGAGAAAAATAATCACCGACACGGTTTCAAGAAAGTAAAAAAAAGTGTCCCATATAATCATATTTTAGGCTAATCATAGCGCAGTACATACACCAAACCCCACCTTCCCCTCGCCCCACTTCGAGCACTTGTACGTAATGACATCATTAGGTAAGATTAAGGATCTTATAAGAAGCCTGCGCAAAGTCCTTATATTGTATTTACAAACGTTGAAAGGGGGATATGCACACTAATCAGTTTCCCAATAACTGCTACATTCCTAGATCAAAATATAAAATATGATTAAATATATGTATATAAGAATGTAGAGACGTTTGAAAATTATATAGGAGTATATAAGAGATATTGTAGATACTTTATCTTAGTACTTTCATATGTTTCACAGAAAAGGTGCATACAGACCTGAGTCGGAATCTGTACTTAATAAACTTTTAAATTTGAAAATTTAAAAATCAATTTGTGTAGCTTTGAGACCAAAGGAATAGAAACGTTACAAAAGGTCTAGAGAAGCGCTCTATGCTTTCGCTCGATCCTCGTAATTCTTAAGAGTTCGAGAAGAGATTCTTTGTCTGTGCCATCGTATTTCATCTGCCATTCGTTCTGTTAAGACAGAATGCCATTCGTCATCCTCGCAGAGATCAATAAAATTTTAGTCTTCACACCTCATTACGCCCCCGATATCTTATTATATCCAATCTTTAGTTAGAAAACCAAAAACACTTTGGCCTCCCGCCTTGTAGTCTATTGAAAGTCTACTTATCGATGCGAATCAACGGCTGTTCGGCTGTTTAACTAATCGTAACATCCGTTCTTTCGCACGCGATAGTCGGGCATTTTACGTAACGTTCAGTTATATAGACTTGGGTTCGAAGGAGGGAGAAAGTGAGTTTGATAAAAATGTGGTATCTTTTGCTGCTGCTGTTGGGAGGGAGCTCGGCCTTCGAGTACGAAGACTGCGGTAAGTAAAACACGCCAGACTCTGCGTGTTTTACATACGCGATTTGAGATTTCCGGGTCTTTTTCAGGTATTCCCGACCAGAAGATCGCCTTCATTGACAGTCTGGTCATCAGTCCGGATCCGGCTACCATTCCAGGAGACATGACAGTCAGCGTCAAAATAAGAGTGACCGAAGACATTCCTCCGGGAGCCATAGTTAAGTTGAAGATCATCCGCCATATGAACATTTTCGGTCAAGCTATAGACTTGCCTCTACCTTGCTTGGGAGATATCGGTTCGTGGTAAGTGCCATCATTGCTCTTCCGTCTATTGCTTTTCCCTCTTCATCGAATCTATATTCGCAGCGATACCGAAGCCTGCAGATTTTTGAAAAGTCACGAGGAAAGGGCATGCCCCTTCTTTCCAGAAGATAAACCTTGCCAATGCCCCATAACGGCCGGAGATTACGTGGGTACGGATCTCGTGGTGCCCTTTCCGGATTTCGGACCTCTTCTCAACCAGTTGGTGGCGGTAAGTACGCGACGTTTCGCCCATCGAAAGACACGTGACCAATTACTGACCCTTTCTTTTATTCCCTCTCAACAGGGTAAGTACGAGTTTCAGTTCATCGTACAACACGGAGAGAGACAATTGGCTTGCGTTCGAGCTAAACTGGAGCTAGCCGCCAAAAAAGAATGAAAATACTCGAGAAGTCGGTTCGAAAACGTTCTTTCCTTCCTTTGTTCATGCAAATTACATTTTAAAACGTCCGAGTTTCTTTATTGTACAAAGTCCAATTATTAAACTGAACCTTATAATAAATGGCAATTTTCGAAAGAACAGAGTGTTTCTTGAATGGATTTTGCACAGCAGTTGACGGTATGTAAGAAGGGCATCTTGCAATAAAATCATTACGAGGTTCTTGTAAGGAAGAAAATCGTATAGATGGCGAGTCTAAACAAAGAAACGTGTCGAAGGGACACGAGGATGACCAAAAGTCAGTTACCGCTTTTTTTCGCTTTCCGATCTACACCGGCGTAGAGTGAGGATTTTGGATTAATTAACGGAATAAGGCAACCCATATTTAAGCGTTAAGTGAAAATGCAAAAAAAAAGAAAAAAAAGGTATTTTACTATCGAAAAAATCTCTTTGAAAGATAAAAAATCAAATAAAATTATAACAAATTGACATTTTTACACTAAAATTTTGTGATTTTGAGCAACGAATCACCGAGAAAAATGCATTCCAAACTCACACTTAAAAGAAAGAGTATTTTGTGTATAAAAAGTGAAAAGATGCACTGACTTTCTATTTTTCTTTTTCTAAACTTTCTATCAAAGTAAATTTGGACCTGGCCTCCGGTTTCGCGGATCGCGGTTATCTATTCTCAATTATTATCAATTGTCTTTTCCCGATAACCTATTTCCATTCAAAAATGTTCGAAAAAAAAAAACAAGTCTTCACTAATTCTTCTACGACGTCCAAGCCTAAATGGTTTCGTTTCGTCTTTACGTTACATTCTGCAACCTATCCTACAGACAATGCTAAAGATTTAAAAAAAAAAAAAAAAAACTGTACAAGTAGCGCCTGTACACGGTTAAACTTCGATATAGCGTCAACGAGACGTTCGACTCCCAAACTCAAACTACACTGTAGAAACTACACTGTATAATACTTAACGCTTCGCTTTAGCGCCACACTCAATTTAGTGTCGAGGTGAAATCGAAGTTTGGCGTTTATAAATTACTCAATATTATTAAGAAAACTGTATTTTTATTTATTTATTTTTTGTTATCTATCGTCGCCAAGTATTTTCAACTAAAGCAACGAAGAGATTAGTTTAAGTTAAATACTAAAAGGAGAACGAGGGCAGAATTAAACGACACGAACGTTAACAGGAGAAGACGACTTTAAGGAGTCGGGTAATGCCGTGCCCTGTCTCCGGTTACTTGAGTAACGACACCAATGCGTTAAAGGCGTCACGCGGTGCTAACTCCATCGCGTTACGACGCGAATCCCTCGATACACCGCCGTTGCCACCGGCGTAACTCCAAACTAGAAATGGGGGATTTACGAAATCCGTCGATAGAAACAGCGATAAAGACGGGGGTATTTTAGTAGGAATGATTCGATTAATTCCCTCGGGAAACAGAGCTTCGACGACAAAGAACGACCCGCTTACGGTTTTTGGAGTAGGAAAGAGGCTCGAATTTCGAAGGTCTCCTTCCAAAAAAGGAAATTTTGTCGCGCGCTTCTTTACGCCGTTGGAAAAGGTGCGCACGAAAAAACGGAAAGAGAAAACCCCTAATAGTTCCCAGAGATCGACACGGGTCGCATTTAATCGAAAGGATAATACCTTTTCGACACCCGTCCCCCGAGAAGACGAGAGTCGTTTATCTAAGACGTCACACAAAGAGGAGAATTACGTTCAGCGAGAGGAAGCGGAGGCGCAGGGGCGAGCCGGACGGAAACGAACCGACCGACGACGCACCCGGTGTCGGCGCGATGCTGGCGACGTTCCAGCCCAGTTTACGCGTCGCGTCGCGTCGGCGGCGCGAACCGTTTCCATCCGGAGGGTCCGGGCCGGGGGAAGGAGAGAGGCGGGCGGGCCGAGCGGGCCGCCGGCGGAAGGCGGCGGAGAGGGCGCCCGGACCGCCGGTTTATTCCGGTGCGGGATTCTTTTATCGCAGTCGAAGCGGCGGTAGAACTCGGACCATAAATAGAACCGTATTCCGGGAGTCGGTATTTCCAAATTAGGCAGGAAACTCGACTCTCGCCAGGAGAACTCCGTCGACCAAACGCGTACTTCTCCGAGGACGTTAACATCGAGCCGTCGGGGTCCGAACTCGATTCCCTGCCCCGACCGGAAGCAACTCGACGCACGATTTCCGGTGAGTATCCACTCCCCTTCCTTCCCTCCTCCTCCTCTTCCGTAACTCGTTGTTGCTGCTCGGATAGGATGCGGCCCGTACTCCGGGGATGCTGGAAGCGGTTAGGAGCGACGACCGCAGGGTGAGCGCGCCCATGCCGGCGGGAGGAAGGGAAGCGGAAGAGCCGGACGGCACTCTGCTCCACTCCATTCTCACCGAAGGACCCTCCGCCGTCTATCGACCCCCGTCGGACGGAAGCGATCCCTCCTCGCCCGCGTAAGTATTCTCCTCCTCTTCTCTAAGTCTCGACCCGGAATTCGGACGACAGCGACCTCTCTCTCTCTCTCTCTCCCGCGTTGAAACTATAACCGGAAGCGACCGCGTGAAGGAAATACCCTCTCGCGCTTATTCCCTCCACTTCCTACTTTTTAAATCGGCATTCGTTCGGCGCTACCTATTTGCTCTACGCTGGAGGTATCCGCGTTCGCCTATCCCCCCACTTCTAGGTAAGGGAGGCGGAAGCGGTAGTGTTCCGCTAGAATACAGTAGGCCTACGTCACTCCAACTTTCGTTTACAACAGAAAAAAATGAGCGTCCGGAAGAAGAAACGACAAAAAGTGGCGTCGGCGATAAATCGAAACGAATTTCGAGTGGCGCGGATTATTTTTCGTTTCCTTTTCTAGCCCGCCCGTCCGACATTTTTTACCATTTTCAAACGTGAGATCGCATCCTATAAAATTACGTAGGAAACTTATTAGTGCGCAAACTCCGCCACATCCCTGACTATTTCCTCTTCTCGTACGAAAATTCGAATAATCTCTTATCCCATTGGTTAGCTTCCGAGTTGTAATCGATTACATTGTAAATTCGATTGATTGCCTTCGAATTCGCCATTGGTTACTTCGAAATGTCTTCGTCACGACGACGGGCCTCGACTTTCCTTTTACCAAACTAGAATTTTTATAACTGTTGATGCCCGGTATTCACTGTATTTACACACTGTACTTCCATTCTACTCCGATTATTATTATGGCCGTCGAATTTTCACCTTCAGAATAAATATATTTTATTTTATATATCTATATTTTATTTACTCCCCGAATTTCTACTCCTTTTATGTTAATTTTGTATATTAGTACACAAACAACTACTCCATCGCATTTACCCATTTATTAATGGCGCTGCTATCATTTTTCTGGTAACGAGTAATTGTTTACTCTTGTACTAAATACTTCATCCATAAATATTTATTCGAGAACATTTGAAAATTATCCGAGATATTAATATGCAAGGTAACCCGAAAGTCGATTAACCGTTTTAAAAAAGTAAAAGCACTTTTTCCGGCAACAAAGTTAAAAAAACAGCACTGTTCTAAATGAGATCCTCCGTGTCAAATAGATAATTTACAATACATCTCTACTATTTTTTGGTTGACTATTCGCGTAACACTCTCGGTTAATCGATTTACGGGTCGCCCTGTACTTAGTAAGTTTCGACTTCGCTGTTTCTGCAATTTCTATAAAATTTTAGTGTTCTTCTTTAGTGGAAAATTGCAATTAGATTTTATAAACGTTTTAATATCGGATAAGAATACAATGAAATTTTGTAATCACTTTTTATATTACGTAATATTTTCTAATGTTCATTAATAAGTGCAACCTTTCATAAACACCGAGTTAAGTGTACTAGTATCTAGGAAACACGGTATAAAGTGTACTAGCTTGTTATAGAACATTATATTAAATGAGATTATAACCTTACAGCTGAATATAACATAATCAAAGCGTCGCTCACACACATTTACACGGTACCGATCTTCAATCTCAGGGAGATCAGAACGGCCCTACTAATCCGTAAGTTTACATATTTATACATTAGCTTATAAAGTTCATCGTCATAAGTTTACCTCACGAAGAAAAAGGAGTGCATTAATTCGTTACTTATACGGTAAACCGCGAGATAATCACGTGTTTAATAGCACGAATCTACTAAACACTTGATTATCTCGCGGTTTTATCTCGTACAAAATTGCGCCTTTCTGGGGCATAGATTTCATTTCATGAATAAGAAAAAAAAAAACACCAACTATTTGAAAAATGTTTTAGAATCTACGGCAAACAATTAAGATATTAAAGCAAGGAATATGTATGTTCGCTAAATGGGGGGAAAATTTACAAATAGGAAATACCAATGGACGAATTTCATAATTTCTGAAATGCCCATAGTTTTTTAAAGTAACTGTTTTTTTATTCGAGGTATTCATAATATTCTAATTTATATTTTTTTTATCGAAGTATTCGCCCATCTCTACTATAGTATATTATATAGGCCTATACAGTACATTACATTACACACTACAACGCGTGCTCAGTTTTTGCTTAATTTAACTTTTTGTTTAATCAAACGTCTTGTAATTTTTACAGAATGTTTTTCATGGGATACCCTTAGGTTAACTTCAGCCTATAAGGTAAAAAAACTTTTATGCGGTAGATAACTAATGGAGTAAGTTACTACGGCTCCCTTTTAATTTACAGGTAACCCCCGTATAACACGGCACTTCTATAGCACGGATTCGCTCTAACACGGTTCGAGAATTGGTACCATCCCCCGTATAACACGGCACTTCTATAGCACGGATTCGCTCTAACACGGTTCGAGAATTGGTACCATCCCCCGTATAACACGGTACTTTTATAGCACGGATTCACTCTAACACGATTCGAGAATTGGTACCATCCCCCGTATAACACGGTACTTTTATAGCACGGATTCACTATGACACGGTTCGAGAATTGGGTATAACCCTCGTACAACAGGAAATGTAATAAATTTTTACATACTTAAGTAATAATAGTTCACGAAAATTATTATTTTTGTGAACTATTAGTACTTAAGTATGTAAATTTTCTCTTCTCGCCTTCTGTCGATACACGTGGTCNAAATTTGACATAATGACTCGTGCATCTCTCTCATTCATTAAATTTGGTTGTAAACGATGTTGTCAAAGTAACGGTTAATTTTTTAACATTGTACAAGAATTGTACACGTTTTTTTCTACATCCCCTTAAAGATGGGATATACGAAATCGTAATATCACTGATTTAACATTGAAATCCGTGAGTAGTATAAAATGGGAGAGCGGAATAAAAATATCAAATATTTTAATGGATTTTTTAAAACTTCTGTCAACTATACAGAACTATCATAAAAACATACCAGTAAATTCGTATCGGTTGGGTTATAAATCTACTCGCGCCGCGTAATCGGGCAGGCGGCTAACAGCCCAGAACCGGTCCTGGATACAATTTGATGCGGTATACATGTAGCATCCACCCAAGGTCCTAGGCTTCTACCAGCTAAACCGGGTGAGATTGATGTTCTGTAAAGCGCATGCGCAAATCTGGCTTTTTGGATGCTGACGGTACGGCGCTTCCACTCCGCCACTAATATTCGAATATACAATAGCGATCTTATCTNAAAAAATTTTAATGAAGATATTTATCTTAATTATGAAAATATACTAGCATGTTTTTTAATTTTTGGAACCTAACCCTCCTTTTCGTATTAGTTCTTTGTTTCGTATAACACGGATTCGCATAACACGGCAATTTTTTGGAACGTAACTACCGTGTTATACGGGGGTTACCTGTACTTCATTTGTCTAATAACTAAATACTAGATTAGTACTGACCATGCCACTTTCTTTTCTCCCAGTACAAGTGGCAACATGGCGTTATCCATAGCCCGAACAATACTAATCAGATAAAACATGTTTTATAGTAGTCCTCGTTATATCGCCGTTTCTCTTGTCTTCCAAATACAAAACACGCCTTAAGTATAATTTTAAAAATAAGTTGCAATTGAATTTCTATTGTCATCCAATTATCGACCTCGAAGCTGTCATTGTATGAAATACAACCAATGACAACTGCATATTTGGTGCAGGATTTTCATATTAAAAAGAAAAAAAAAAGATACAGTGGGTGATCGGTTAACGAACACTTTCGCGAAAGATTTTTATGTTCGGACAACGAACACATGATCGGATAACGAACACCCCACAGAACAAACACAAGAAGAAGCGATGTAAAATAATAAATACCGATTGGTCTTCCCTTGTCTTCGGGCAACAATTCGTAACTTTTCGGAGTGCGGGAGACGTCGACATCGACGCTCAAGCCGGTATATACCGATCGGATAGTATTCCTCCGAACTTTGAAACATTGCCTTGTAATTCCAGCCTTTTATTTTTCTGACAAAACAATTCTTCTATGTATTCGCGATGTGTCGGGTAGGCACTCGTTAAGTTTTGCGTCTGTTTTTCTTTTCGAAAGGTGAGAGTATAATAGCAAAGGTAGAAAGTGGGCAGAAGATGCCTAATGTTGCTGGGCAGTATGGCGTGAACAGGTCTACAGTAGGCCGCAGTTCAATCTTATTTAAGAAAAATACTGTATAATTAAAAAGACTCAAGCAGCTTAAGGAGTAACAAAAATCACATCTGAGAAATAAAAAACATTGAAGAGCTCATAATGGAACCTGAAACGGATCTGACGACAGAAGAACGCCAAGAACTCTTGAATGAAGAACACCAAGAAACTCAGCGAGATATGTTTTCTTCTGAAAAAGAGGATTGATGCCGATATCTGTTATTAAAGATCCTTTGAAGAAGTGGGAGGATGTCAGAACAACGGTCTTAGAATGGCATCCAAAGCAGGTTGAGGCTTGGAGATTTCTACAATTGTAATACTATTAATTACTTATGAAAAATCCTGAAGAAGAGAGAAAAGCAATCGACATTAGACAGATTCTTTAACCCTTTCAAACGGAAAAAAGAAGACTAATAAAAATGCAAGACTGTGTATGTATGTATTTTTATTATTCCATATAAATAAACGTAGTAAGAATATATATATTTTGTTTTTGGGGGTTTAAATTAAATTTTTGGGGGTTTAAAATAAACGAATTAATTAAATTCCCATTGAAACCTATGGTAAATCGATAATCGGTTAACAAACAATTCGGATAGCGAACAGAGTCTTGGAACGGATTATGTTCGTTAACCGATCACCTACTATATATTCATTTTTCAATATATTATTAGGTCGAGTGTATCCTCCACTTAAATAAATTTAAACAATACAGGAATTCGATTCACAGAAATTAAGTTTTGTAAAAATTTTACACATTTTAAAACAGATCTTCAAGTTGTGGCCCGAAGATGGTCTATTTTTAAGGTTGAAAGTTGTAGCATTAGTAGCGAGGTTGCGGCCGAAGTT